GACAGCCGAGTAGTTCCGCGGAGGTTGCCGAGATCCAAGTTTTAGTTGTGCAACGAACAACACCGCAACTGGATAAACCCGTTGAATACATAATCTGTTGCAATCGAGACCAATGCTGATCAATGCCCTGAGGAGGCGGAGGACTGAGGTACTCACGGAGCTGATTTAGGTGGTTCAATTGCACGGCAGGGTCTTCCAGTTTACTAGAGCTAATTCGAGTTTGTCTGGTCCTAGGCGAGCCACCGAAAAGCATGCAAACCGAAACACCCACTAGCGCATGCTCAGTTTCCACACATGTTGTCCACTAGGATCTGCAGTCCATGCCAAGGATGATTTATGGTGATGTGTTCGATTTGTGGCCAACATTGAGGTGATGCTGGTGAATTTCAGGTAGCTTAGTGATGTCTACGGTGGTGAAAGCTCGTGCTGAATAGGTACAATTTGTGGACGGCACAGAAACTGAATAGTCTTTCACCATCGTCGGAGCGGAAGTTGTCCTATCCATACGGGCCTCCAAGATGGCGTTCGCTTGGTAACAAACGACTAACATGCTAGTTGAAATCCCCTGCCATAATAATGTCAGTTTTAATGGTCCTTAAGAGCAAATAATGTAGGTTCTGATAGGATTGGTCCTTGACGGTATCTGGGCTACAGTCAGTGGGAGAATTGTCGGAGAGTACAAAATGGGTACGTTTGTCTCCTCGACGCCTGTTAACCTTGCACGAGCCATGGAGGCTGACAGCGCACTGGCGACTGTTGATCAGAATCCATTGGAGAAGAGCGGCTCAGGCTCCGCCATTAAAGGTGATCTAACACCAGCTTGCTCAGAAGCGGTAGCCTTGGCGTCTGCAGAAATTCAAAGATGGAAACGAGTATAAGGGTGAACTGGTTACGACAATGGGTACACTACCCTGGAATCCTGAAGTCGTGTTTCGGACAAACAACAGACCTCAATTGCAAGAGTTTCTATGGTGCGTACAAGACGGGCTTGATGCGCGATTTGTTTTAAGTTGCGCACATTGACGGCCGCCTTGTTGAATTGTGTCTTCAGTTGCAGAAGCGGAGAGAGGAGCATCCGGGACTGTTCAATCCCGATTTGGCGCTGTTTGATTCTGTCTGAGGATAGAGCGGCAACAGTGATATCAGAGGAAGCAATCTAGCTCAACATTGATTGATCAGACAAAAACCGGGAAGTATGACACAGGGGAAGAGCAGCTAAGCGAGTGGCGTGTGATGGAAGAGTGTTTGTCATAGTAGCTTGAGAGCAAAGCATCAGTTAAGCGAAGAGTGCAGTTCAGTATCATGGTTCATCAGTAGGCGAGATACTACACGGTTGCCTAGGCCGAATTAGGGGTTGTATTAGGGGGCCGCCACTTTGAGCCTTTGACACAATAGTCTACCCGCAATGCAGCGGGGCGAATTCAGGGTATCACACTCATTTGGACTTAGTGACCTACTGCTCGGTACATACGTCTTTCGTTTGGTCAAGTACCAAACAGAGGACAGTCCTACCCATGGTGACGGCGTCTGGCAGCTGGAATACCATGCTCCACTAGTGTGTAGCAAGTGGAAGTAACTTTATTAAGTGGCGAGTCAATTCTGCCACGTCGCAGTGTTGTTAAACGGATGTATGTTGTTTTGTATAGGGAGAACGCTTGCCAGGCGAAAACCAAATACGTCTTGAAACACTGCAGCCGAACCATTCGCTGGAACAGGAAACTCCCAAACCACCTATATTGCATCAGGAGGATGTTGTTCGTCAAGCCATCCACAAGCTGGAGTGCTCTCCTATCTTTTCGATAAATCTCTTAAGGTAATTACAATTATGAGCTTTATAATCATTCGTGCAGTAGCTATTGCTAGCGATGGAACAGGAAGACATGAACGCTGCGATCGGATGAAACGTGGCAATCTACGTCTATTTAAACCCACTACCATTGAACACTAGGCGAGAATTCAGGTGACCAGACTAGGGTCACGGTAGGGTAAAACTGCATAAGGGCACACTGTTTACACAGTCGCGCTTCAGTTGCTTGATCGCAATTGCTTCTGCTGTGGTCAGTAAGAGTTTACTGAGTACTTTTGTGCAACTCTTTGGTGCTACACAAACTATTTTGAATGTCTCCTTCGTTTGTATGTTATGTCCACTATCTACTAGGTTTTCTGGATGGAGCTGTAGACACTTATGGTGGTACCACAGCTCAATCCTAGAAAACCTAGTAGAGAGTGGACATAACATACAAACGAAGGAGACATTCAAAATAGTGTGTGTAGCACCAAAGAGCTGCACAAAAGTACTCAGTAAACTCTTACTGACCACAGCAGAAGCAATTGCGATCAAGCAACTGAAGCGCGACTGTGTAAACAGTGTGCACTTATGCAGAGTTTTACCCTACCGTGGCCGTAGTCTGGTCACCTGACTTCTGGCCTAGTGTTCAATGGTAGTGGGTTTAAATAGACATAGATTGCCACCTTTCATCCGATGGCCGCGTTCACATCTTCATGTCGTATCGCTAGCAATAGCTACTGTACAAATTATTATAAAGTTCACAATTGCAAGTGCCTGAAGAGGTTAACGAAAAGACATTTCCTCGCAATTTCTTTTGAAATCAGAATGGGCATAATTTATGAACTTACCTTTCGTCTTGAATGCTTCTGACCACGAAAATGACAGCTCCCCTCCTGCACCTCGGATGACAGGGACAGGGCATTTTTGGTCTTCGATACTGTTCAAAATCCTGTCGTGCTTACTTACAGAATCTGGACTTGCCTTGATGTTTTTGTTTCGCAAAGGCACATAGCTGCACACTGATTTAGAGAGAGCTTTTGCCGCCTCAGAAGGCGTTGGGTGAGGTCGTCATTTCCATTACCGATTACGATGCGGTCGCCTACCAGAGGGTCCCTCATGCAATTCCAGAATTTGCAGGTTAGTGCCAGAATTTTCGATTCTGGAATGTAGGTCTCGGCTGATTTATCTGGTAAGCGTAGGTGATCAAAAAATATATATATTCGGTACGTTACCTTTGATTAACTTTCGCACTATTCGCGAAAGCTCCAGATTATTGTATGATCAGAAGTCAGGGTAAGCGAACATATGTTTTCGATAATTCATCTTCAGGCTTATACAATCATATGCAAATCAAAATGTACAGACAGACATTACAAGTCGTTACTACTGGAGCGAGTTACTTGGACGCTGACAGCGCTGTATGTTAAGCCACGACAGTCGACCTCGTGTGACCTCGTGGGTCAGAAGTCACCAGCCGTTTGGGCCAGGGCAGTCCCAAGCCTTTAGTTAGCTTCTTCTGATACATAGCTCCGGTTCATACAGTCTGATCGCGATTGCTTCAGCGGCTTCTAGTAGTCGCTTACGGACGTAGTTCGAGCGGTGCTTTGGGGCCTGATATATAAGTTTGAATGAATCAGTGAACTTTGTGGCGTGCCCTGTATCAGCTAGATGTGCAGCTATTGATGAGTTCGCTGTATTTCTACTTCCAGTTCTAAGCCCGACCGGGTGGTGTTCCTTCATTCTCTCAGATAGACGCCGTGTCGTACGACCAATGTATTCCGCTCCACAGGAGCATGAAAATGAGTAGATACACATTGAGTTGGTTTGGACAGGCCTCTTATCCTTTGAGTTTAGTCTCACCATCGGAATGCTAGTGAACTGGATTTGCATCTGCGCTGCTGGATAGGTGCGTCTGAGTGAAAACGAAAGACGACGAGTTAGTAGTTCCGTCGCAACCTCGCCCTTGTATGGCAGCTGTAGAAAGATTGGCTTACGTTCTACCGTCAAAACTACAGGCTTTTTCTTCTTATGTTCCATGTTGGCTCTGATGAAGCTTTCCGGATAGCCGTTCTCCCTTAGCACTAAGCGAATGCACTTTAATTCTTCCGCAAGCGTGTCATTCGAGCAGATACGTTCAGCTCGGCTCACTAGGGTCTTAATCAAGTTCCGTTTAAATCTAAGTGGCACGAAGCTGTAGAAGTTTGTGTACTGCCCATTCCACGTACTTTTCCTGTAGACGCAGCGCTGTAGCGCACCCCCATGCAGTCTTTTCATAGCGACATCGAGGAAATGAAAGCGACTGCTTTCCTCCACTTCGCTGGTGAACTTTATTGCTGGATGGCCTTGGTTGAACGGGTCTGTGAGTTCCTCGATACTTCGAGACGACTGAAGTAAGACAAAAATGTCGTCCACGTAACGGCAATATAAACCGAGACTTGAGATCGTGGGTTTTAGCTTTCCCTGTTCCAGCATGCCCATGAAGACGTTGGCTAGGAACGGACCCAGTGGGGAACCCATCGCTACCCCATCGCACTGCCGGTATAATTCGCCATTGAACAGAAACTGAACATTGAAAGTGCATCTGAGCAACCGTTCTTTTGGGTAACCGTGGGTATGCCAACATTAATGTGGATTACATCAACATACTCACAGATGTAGTTTATGGTCTCAACTAACGGTACGTTGGTGAAGAGTGAAGTAACGTCGAGGGAGCACATGGTTAGATTGGAAACATTTACATCACGCACAATATCCACAAACTCAAAACTATCCTTCACACTATGCACAACAATTCGCTCTCGAATAGGCGTAAGAATCGAAACCAGCCACCGAGCAATCGAGTGATAATGGGAGTTTTTCATATCCAAGACGGGACGAAGGGGGACGTTAGGCTTGAGAGTTTTTGGTAGCCCATAAAGCCTTGGAATAACCGTTCCTACCGGCCGAAGTTGCTCATAAGTGGCTTCGGTAATGTAACCATCCATTCGAAGCCGTTTAAGACAGTTGCAAAGTTGAGTTTCAATCTGTTTAGTCTTGTCTTTCTCACCTATGGCTCTCAGAAACTTGGTTTCATCTGCCAGTATTTCTTTCATCTTGCTCAAGTAGTCCATTCTTTTCATGAAAACAAGCATTCGCTTAGTGCTAAGGGAGAACGGCTATCCGGAAAGCTTCATCAGAGCCAACATGGAACATAAGAAGAAAAAGCCTGTAGTTTTGACGGTAGAACGTAAGCCAATCTTTCTACAGCTGCCATACAAGGGCGAGGTTGCGACGGAACTACTAACTCGTCGTCTTTCGTTTTCACTCAGACGCACCTATCCAGCAGCGCAGATGCAAATCCAGTTCACTAGCATTCCGATGGTGAGACTAAACTCAAAGGATAAGAGGCCTGTCCACACCAACTCAATGTGTATCTACTCATTTTCATGCTCCTGTGGAGCGGAATACATTGGTCGTACGACACGGCGTCTATCTGAGAGAATGAAGGAACACCACCCGGTCGGGCTTAGAACTGGAAGTAGAAATACAGCGAACTCATCAATAGCTGCACATCTAGCTGATACAGGGCACGCCACAAAGTTCACTGATTCATTCAAACTTATTTATCAGGCCCCAAAGCACCGCTCGAACTACGTCCGTAAGCGACTACTAGAAGCCGCTGAAGCAATCGCGATCAGACTGTATGAACCGGAGCTATGTATTCAGAAGAAGCTAACTAAAGGCTTGGGACTGCCCTGGCCCAAACGGCTGGTGACCTCTGACCCACGAGGTCACACGAGGTCGACTGTCGTGGCTTAACATACAGCGCTGTCAGCATCCAATTAACTCGCTCCAGTAGTAACGACTTGTAATGTCTGTCTGTACATTTTGATTTGCATATAATTGTATAAGCCTGAAGATGAATTATCGAAAACATATGTTCGCTTACCCTGACTTCTGATCATACTATGGGATTTTTTAAAACTGTGAAGCACCGCTTAGATCCTCCTGTGTTAAAATCGCTCAACAGATATGTGGGCTTCAGAACCAGGATAGCGAAGGCGGATATATGTCTCGATTTTCTCGCTAAGTGCATAGAAAGCAACATTTATCCGACGAACTACTGGAAATCTCTTCGTCGCTCACGCATCAGACCGGATAGCAATTGTTTGAAACGCCTAGCATTAAACCAGATAGATGCCACTCGTATCAAGAGGGACGAGCTCAAACGTGTCCTGAGTCAGTCGTGTAGCGCACTGGACAGTCTCTCAACCAGAGACCGATCGGAGCTAGAGAAGACAATTAAGGAAATAATCACAAAACAAGGATCCAGATTGCGTCATCAGCTCACAAACACGCTGAAAAAGGAGAAGCCCTCAACATCTTTTCCGGCCGAACCAGATAGGTATGTTCAAAACTTGTCATGCCTGACGCTTGATCGTGTTACAATGGAGGTCTTATCACTAGGCCCTAAATTCTGTTTTCCTGCTAGGAAGGATAATAGACTAGCAATAGAGGCCCAGTTTGAAAATGTGTGCACACAGACCTCTCAGCTGACTCCTTGTTCTGAAATGCATGTGGAAGAGTTTAAATCATTTCTAGTGCATGCATGCTATCAGTACCGACGTGCGAGGATAGTACATAATACTCCGGTAAAACAAGAACACCTTGAAGCTCTTAACCGTCTGGTTAGCAATGATGAAGTCTTACTCACTCGGCCAGATAAGGGCGCGGGCATTGTTATCATGAACAGAGTGGACTACTTGAGCAAGATGAAAGAAATACTGGCAGATGAAACCAAGTTTCTGAGAGCCATAGGTGAGAAAGACAAAACTAAACAGATTGAAACTCAACTTTGCAACTGTCTTAAACGGCTTCGAAAGGATGGTTACATTACCGAAGCCACTTATGAGCAACTTCGGCCGGTAGGAACGGTTATTCCAAGGCTTTATGGGCTACCAAAAACTCACAAGCCTAACGTCCCCCTTCGTCCCGTCTTGGATATGAAAAACTCCCCTTATCACTCGATTGCTCGGTGGCTGGTTTCGATTCTTACGCCTATTCGAGAGCGAATTGTTGTGCATAGTGTGAAGGATAGTTTTGAGTTTGTGGATATTGTGCGTGATGTAAATGTTTCCAATCTAACCATGTGCTCCCTCGACGTTACTTCACTCTTCACCAACGTACCGTTAGTTGAGACCATAAACTACATCTGTGAGTATGTTGATGTAAACCACATTAATGTTGGCATACCCACGGTTATCCTAAAGGAACTATTGCTCAGATGCACTTTCAATGTTCAGTTTCTATTCAATGGCGAATTATACCGGCAGTGCGATGGGGTAGCGATGGGTTCCCCACTGGGTCCGTTCCTAGCCGACGTCTTCATGGGCATGCTGGAACAGGGAAAGCTAAAACCCACGATCTCAAGTCTCGGTTTATATTGCCGTTACGTGGACGACATTTTTGTCTTGCTTCAGTCGTCTCAAAGTATCGAGGAACTCACAGACACGTTCAACCAAGGCCATCCAGCAATAAAGTTCACCAGCGAAGTAGAGGAAAGCAGTCGCTTTCATTTCCTCGATGTCGCTATGAAAAGACTGGATGGGGGTGCGCTACAGCGCTGCGTCTACAGGAAAAGTACGTGGAATGGGCAGTACACAAACTTCTACAGCTTCGTGCCACTTAGGTTTAAACGGAACTTGATAAAGACCCTAGTGAGCCGAGCTGAACGTATCTGCTCGAATGACACGCTTGCGGAAGAATTAAAGTGCATTCGCTTAGTGCTAAGGGAGAACGGCTATCCGGAAAGCTTCATCAGAGCCAACATGGAACATAAGAAGAAGAAAAAGCCTGTAGTTTTGACGGTAGAACGTAAGCCAATCTTCCTACAGCTGCCATACAAGGGCGAGGTTGCGACGGAACTACTAACTCGTCGTCTTTCGTTGGCACTCAGACGCACCTATCCAGCAGCGCAGATGCAAATCCAGTTCACTAGCATTCCGATGGTGAGACTAAACTCAAGGGATAAGAGGCCTGTCCACACCAACTCAATGTGTATCTACTCATTTTCATGCTCCTGTGGAGCGGAATACATTGGTCGTACGACACGGCGTCTATCTGAGAGAATGAAGGAACACCACCCGGTCGGGCTTAGAACTGGAAGTAGAAATACAGCGAACTCATCAATAGCTGCACACCTAGCTGATACAGGGCACGCCACAAATTTCACTGATTCATTCAAACTTATTTATCAGGCCCCAAAGCACCGCTCGAACTACGTCCGTAAGCGACTACTAGAAGCCGCTGAAGCAATCGCGATCAGACTGTATGAACCGGAGCTATGTATTCAGAAGAAGCTAACTAAAGGCTTGGGACTGCCCTGGCCCAAACGGCTGGTGACCTCTGACCCACGAGGTCACACGAGGTCGACTGTCGTCGCTTAACAGACAGCGCTGTCAGCATCCAATTAACTCGCTCCAGTAGTAACGACTTGTAATGTCTGTCTGTACATTTTGATTTGCATATAATTGTATAAGCCTGAAGATGAATTATCGAAAACATATGTTCGCTTACTCTGAACTCTAGATTATTTCCGAGATGTCCGGCTTCTGCTTCTCCGTATCATTGAGATCCAAAGTCTCAAGTACTCATCTGGCTTTGTTGTCAATAGCGTGTCTGAGCATAGCAAGCTGGTAGGGTATCGGATAACAATCCAAATGAGTCAACGTTACGAATTCCGCCCACCGCTTTCTACATTCTCCAGTTGTCAGGAAGCGTACTTTCCGTCATCTGTAGAGAAGTCAGCAACAGGATCGACGGCTGTCCATCAAAAGCGAGCAAGGTCCGGCGCATTACCTTCTTCTCCTCTGTCACCATGCTGCATGTCTGGTTCTCCCAGCCGCTTCAATAGAAAGCACTCACACCGGTTCCGCACACAAGCATTCTATTCACAAGTCTAAGGTAATGTAATATTGGCTGGGTGTTTTGAACTCATTCAGCCACTCGATTGATTGCCTGATCGACCGCACGGAGGCAAGTGATTCCCTTTACCCCAGCTTTCAACCACCAACACAATGTGGACCTACTGTCACCGGTCGTATGGAGAGAAATTATAAACAAAGTATTGAACTCAAGCTTTTACATAAACTCATAATGAATGTGCAGAAACTTAAAACAATATAGCAAAGGAACAACCGTTTCGCCAAATCGGTACAAATGCATTAAAAGCTGCATCCAAAACAAAGAAAAAGTGGGGCAGTTAGAAATCCTGAAAAATGCCTACATTAGCGCAGCTACTCAAAAGCAAGAACCATAACCCCATCAGGAAGTTGAAATGTTGGCCATGGAGATGATTATTTCATGCGCAACATCTTCTGCACACGCAAGAATATAAACACCGGTTTGGCTCCTGCTTCGTCCCTAGCATCCAGCTGTTTTATCCTGCATTGCCTAAAAAAACGAACAAGCTACTCTGTGATAATCCTTTGAATTTGAGAGAGCTGCAATGTTCCATCGCATCCATAAAACCTCTAACTAGTCTAGGCACAGATGGCATCTCCCAACTTTCATCAAACTGGGCCGAAATAATATTTCTGTACTGATATTAAACATCTTCTCACACGACCAGCTCCTTACCATATCAATGGAAGCAATCCATCATTATGCCTAAGCACAATGGTGGCCCGCAACATGACATGTTGCTATACCGCCCTATTAATCAGACATATGCTGTTGCTAAAGCCCTAGTGAGGATAGTCAAAATGAATATTGTCCAGTTTCTTACAAGACTGGATCTGATAAATCCCTCACAGCAGAACATTCTTTCGAAAGGTTCCTGTTTTACCTGACAGCTACATATGTTCGATCATGTCATGCCTATGTTTGACGGAGGAATCGTTATCATTCTAATTCTGGTGCACGTGCAAAAGTCGTCCGACTGCGTGTCGCACATGCCACTGCTGTCCGTCCTCGATTCATATGACAACAAAATTCTTCTACTAGGCTGGTTCGACTCAGAATAAAAGATCGAACCCAGATAGAATCGGTCAGCAATGTTCCACACCAAAACAAATATCCTGCGGCGTCTTCCAGGTAAGTGTGATTTTCTTAATTTACATAAATACCATATGCGACTAGATAAAACACGGAGGACGATTTCCGTTTGCAATAGACATCAAAATGGTCTACAATGTTCTACACACATTTATACACCTTTATACAAACCAACCAAAAGTATGCTTAGGAATCATCTGTGGAGACCCGTTCACACTAAATGTAGCTACTAAATGTTTGCTAATTAAGTTCCCGCAGTAAAATCCCAAATATGTGGATACAGAGGTGTAATTCCGGAAGGCTCAATCACACGTTTGATGGAGACTGACCGCTATATCTGATTCAGTGCAGACTTAATCATTAGGTACTCCAACTTTCTGTGAACATATGCTTTATCATGTTGCAAAAACGAGGCAGCTATGCCGATACATCACCAGAAATTTCCCCGTGCCTGAAACACGACTTGAGTCATTCGACATAATAACACGACCGACTCGGCAATACTGTACTATCCTTGAGGGCCAAATGAGTAAGAAAAACAGAACAGCACTGGAAAAGCTCCAGCTATCATTTACCAAGGTAGTCACGCGGCGCTGCTAAAATCTGTTATTAGGATCGTTGTCGACAACTCCAAATGTGTCATTTGGGCTTCGATGTTTAAAATGAAAATCTCTTCTTCAACATTTGTAATCAAGGAATTTATAAAACTGGACCACACTTGAGCTGCGGAAGACGACAAAGACTGCAAGACGAAAAATTCAATCAAATTTCTTTTGCGTGAGTTTTGTCGAGCTGTGGTACAAGTTACTTCCACAGATACGCACTAGAGAAAACCATTCAATATTCAAAATACCCTAATAAACTTCCACAATATATCAAAACTGGTAAAGGGATTTGGCTCACAACCACTTCTAAAAACAGTGCCGGAAGCTCGTGTAAATAATTGCTGAAGAGCTAGTTGCTTATTATCAGCTTTCCCAATGTTTCGCATTACCCACAAAACCATAATTTTATCATGGAAAACTGTAATTCCATTGCCAGTATTTGCTAATCCTGATTCTCACAAATTAGGAAATGGTGAGACTAATATTGTTAGTATTATTTATTGTGTGATCGGGTCTAAGATGCGGGAGAAAATTCATAATCCAAATTCAATCGTTTACATTTCCCTATTAATACACATTTATGCTGTATAAAACAGAAAAGCTAATCAGTATAAAATGATCATTCCAGCTTATGGAGCCGTATACCGCTTCTCGGTAAATTTAAGTATTTATTTATTTATGTCTGAAGATAAAAGGGATTTGCTGCAGTTCATGCCATGTAAAACCATTTTATACCTACCTACTCGTTTTATCACAGTAAAAGAAACTACTAAGAGCTTTACCAAATTTATTGCTTTAGACTTACAATAGCGCAAAATTTGACAGGAGATCGGCAGCATAAAATGCAAGTGGTTGGGCTTCATTGTTCCGTTAAGTAGTGTAATCTTTCTACTATTAAGCACATTTCCTCAAACCCGGAGCAGTTGTTAGGCAATCACTCGTGCTTTCATGCAGATTGAATACTATTCTTTAACAAGAGCCATAAATAACATCATTTATGAATACCACCTATGGTCCAACGTTTAAGGTGTTTACAAATTGAGCTTAGACCTTCCACTTATTTGCTACACAGTAGGTTATGCTGATGTATTTTTTTTACCAATAACGATGGCTTATTCCATTATCGACTGTTGTCGCTACTCATGAACGATTTTGCGCTTTTACTGCTCAGGATCACTAAATTCCGACACAGCCCACGCCACATGGTGATCACTTCTTCGGACTTACCATGGACGAAAATGGATCGTACGCTTTGCGATGGAATTTAGAATATCATAATAGCTTACAACATTGTGTCAACTATCTCAGTCATGTCTAGCTGTCTGAAGGGTACCGACGGTCACCTTTCTATTGCAGTTTCAATATTAACGAATTATTGGCGATTGCGCTCGCTGGGCATAGCTTCGTTGTCGTAGAGTACCCAGATGCAAATGTCGTAGTGAAACGCAGCAAGCAACCTAAACCCGGTTACCATTATCCTCTTTGTTAAAGGGTGGAGGTAACCCAAACTTGAATGTACTTGCTGCTTTGTTTAACCCTGTTGGGCACACAAAGTAGAAACTTTCTGACCTATGCTTGTCAACTGTCGTATTCAACTTCGAATCTGGTCAACGAACCTTTATCCATTACCTTCAGCATTTTAACTTGTATCATTATTCGACGACTTGTTGAATCTCGTGAGCTCTGAATCACTGAAAGCCAGAACGGATTTCTTCCTGATCCTGATTGGATTGGTCACGCAATTTACCTCCTAGCCAATGCGGAAACAATCATTTATCCACTTATAGGTGGCATGGCGAGCAATCCCTGAACTAATAGACCAAAGCGAGGAAAAACTCGAATCACTGACGAACGACAGACTGTATTGGCTGCTTCACCTCCACCTTGCGAGCTACTTCCATTTTGATGAACAAATAGGTGTGCAAGGGAAATAAACTTTGACAGGTCTCCTTTAACAGTACTAATTACTGAGGCATTAATGCAAACTTTGAAAAAGACTCCGCCGCCCATAGTTAACCCCAATTATGTGTCTGAAAGTCGATGACAAATTAAGGCTATTAAAACTTAATCAATTTAAATAGCATTAAATTTGCTCTAAAGCACCATGGACGACATTTATTTCACAATGTAATCAGAGATAGAAAACAAGCCTCCATTCTTGGAAGTGCAAGTCACCATGATAGTTGACGCAGTGTTGAAAAAATTTGGTGTACAGTAAAACTACGCGAACTGATTACATGCTGAACTACTATACTAACCACACCAAGTGTCAAAAAATAGAAATTTTACAAAATATACTTCATATACCCAAACCACGTTTCAGCCTTATGGTAACAAAACGGGAAGAGGAGATATGTTTTCTTATACAACTTCTTTTAAACAGGTACCCACACATTCTCGTACGACCCTGTCTAGACAAGTAGTCTAGGGTCCCTCAGGCAGTACAAAGCGGAGTGAGATGAATAATTATGTTAGCAGGTGCACCATCTAGGAAATAATTTAGTTAACACAATGTCTACTGGAATCCAAATTTTTCGGGGAAATTCGGCAGAACGATCACACTGGTCCCCTAGATGAACGTTCGCTGACAATCTGATGTTATCGCTGGTAAGAGGAATGGACGAGAGCTAGGTCATTCAAGTAGCTCACCGGGAATAAATGCGCAACGCTAATCTTGTCTAGTACTTTGCGGTGTGTGAACCAATGAGCGACGGCCCCTATTTTAATAGGCTAATAGCAGCGGCAAGATCAAACCAAAGCCTAGTAGAGTTACATGGTGTGACCTGGATGAAGATAAAGCATTTTACCCTATAAGAAGAATATTCCTGAGATGAGAGTAACATTGCGTAGCTAACATGTATCACAGTAGCCCTTAAATCAGCTTTCACTCTGAGCACCCTGTCAAAAACTAAGCTAAACCTGTAGAACACGAACTATGATATTTTGTGCCCAAGATACAATACATAGACTACGATAAGAATTACGTGGAGCATACAGGAAGGACTCTGGACACATGACGATTTGATTATACACTGTCGTCCCTCAGGCGAGATCCGTGCCTACATGTTCAATGAATCTACCAAAGTCAAAGCTATATTGTCACATTATTCATTCAAAGTAGCAATATTGCTAAGTCTATTTGGTTTTTGCCATGTTTATTGACGCGCAGAGTGGAGCATTTTAAAGGCATACATTTCTTCACTGGCTGAGATGACTTTTTCAGCGCGTAGTTGTATTGGTAACCGCCTTATTAGTAATAGCCGCAGTGTTCGCCATAATCTTGCTATCTGGAGTCGTGAGATACACAATTTCGAAACTAATGCAGCCAGGTGGCTGGCTATGATGACTGTGTTATTGGACACTGCTCATAATGTGTCCACTCAACCGTACGCGTCTCAAATTGATTGCTCAAATAAACGGAATTTTTGACGGTGGAATCGAGTAAACAATTAAGCGGGATCACCTAAGCATTCATAAAAAGGGTATGCAATACAGCCTACTAATGCATGAACCAAGGGTTTTATGCACAATAAATTACTCCACAGTTGTATATCCCACAGGCCATTTGTATCCATTGAGATCGGACACCGGTCTGCGTGTAAGAGCAACTAACGATAGCGATGAGAATACTGCGGTAGCATGAGGCACACCAACGTGCCGCCAATTGATCTCACCTACGGCCTGGTGACTATCACTTGTCGATGATAAACGTTAGACGTCACAGATGTGTCACATATATGCCACCGAAACGAATGCGCACAATCACGACGTCATCTCACAAACTTGCATTTACACTTTTGTGGTCTGGAGCAGTGTGTGAAATGCTTTTTGTGCCAGTGCGGTCGTTTACCTCCAGTGTAATTCCGTTAGCTATGTTTATCACCAAATCATGACGATCATGTGTGGGCGAGAAAAATACAACCAATCACGGCGCCGGTGGCTGAAAAACACATAGCACCTGATTAAGTATATACTTTAGTGGAGAACGTAACAAACCTTAGCAACAAAACCAGTCATTATGTCCGACTGTAGCTACAAGGCAAGTCGATCACACGACATTGCATAAGACACTTTCATAATATATTTCTTCCTTATAATCACTATGAGGCAGCATATACAGAATTTGTCACCCATGTCCGCAGGTCATCTACTTTCATGCCCGCGGTGGTGCGGAGCCTATTCGGCTGGTGTTACACGCAGCAGGGATACCGTTCGAAGATGAGCGTATCGAAATTAGTGACTGGCCCGCTAGGAAAGCTTCCATTCCGGGAGGAAGATTACCAGTCCTAGTTATTTCCAAACCCGGAGATTCCAAACCAACATATTATCAAGAAAGTTTGGCCATCGCCCAGTTCCTGGCAAGACGCTTCAAACTGGTGGGTGACACAGATGAAGAGAATTACCAAATCGACAGAATCATTGGACAAGTTAGTCGTTGATAACTGAAATGATGTTGACTTGAGTGGATCGATTACCATGATCGTGTGAATCTTAATGTGCTTCACAAACATTATTTCCTTTCAGGTGGTTTGAAAAATTTATCCTCATGAACTCTGTGCTGATCATGACGGTGTGATTCAAATGAATATAGATTTCTCTTGCTGCTTCAATTTAGCGAGATGCATATATTGTTCCTATGCTAAAATGAATTGTCTTGGACTCCTAGTAGCTTTAATTCAGCATTCCTAGACAGTTGTGCCTGAGCAACGCAGACATGCTTGAGCAAATAGATTGCATCTAAAAATAAGTAAAGTAGGATGGCGGTTATTATTATGGCGGTTACTATTTTTGACGATCGCATCCTCCGTCTTCCTTATAGTGCTACGATTTTTCTAAGGAGTTATATGACGCTTTCCACGTATCAGAGGACAAAAGAAAACAGGCTATCGAAGACGCATTCAAAGGACCGATTCCAAAAATACTCGATGTAAGTGCATTTTGAGGTCAGTGACGATGTTTTGATCGACATTTCTACAGAACCAACAAATGATTAACTTCGTAGTGAATTTGGAGGTTGTGCTCATGGAGAATTAATAGCCAAGATACACTAGGGATTTGTAAGAAAGTACAAATATACCACGGGACTCCCATGCACATAAACTCTGTGCACTTATTCATTGTCTGTTAGCGGTTGAATGCAGGATAAGCGAAGACTATCTCGCTTGTCCTGTAGAACTATCTATAACTTACCACCTTAAAACAGAATGTAAAACAGTGCAGCAATATTACGCTACTTTAGCTGAGTCAGCCGTCTCGAATTAAGAAATGCAGAGATCTATGTCGTGTATAGACATTTCATTTATACAAATCTCCTTTGATTTCAGCTACTATCTCAGTCGCTTGCCGAATCTGAAGGGCAGTTTGTTGCTGGTAACAAGTTGACCTTGGGTGATCTTTATCTTCTGGCGACAATTGATCATGTCCTCAAGAACGATAAAGATCTGTTGAAGGAAAAATACCCCAAACTACTTGATTACCGAGAGAACGTGATCAACAGCAATGTGAATCTGGCTGCCTACATCAAGTCGCGTCCAGACACGGAATTTTAGGCTATGTGCTTCGTGATTTCATTTATGGTGGCTAATTAATTTAATAAACTCTCATTCGCATTAATCCGTTCGTGTCTCGTCTGCATGAATAGGTTGAAGTTTAGGGAAGCGGAGTTCAACAATTGCAATATAAATATCCTGGGCCCTTGAAATATTGGAAATCTTCACATAACGCATTTTGTTCCCAAGTCGATAACTTTGGTGATAAAACAGTAACATCTTTTGTTAGCACGTTGTCCCGTACTCTATGCACACGTCATACGGACACATGGATACTGAGAGAACTGTGCACATGTGGTCAGCAAACGATGCACAGGCGCTTGCAGGAGTTCCACGGTATCGCACCTATCTTCTAGTACATGCTCGCTGCTATTGTGAACCGCCAGTGGTTGACAATATTGGCTAGTTACTTCGCAGAAATTTGTTAAGGCGCAGAAACTGCAGTTGTTAGAGGCAACCAGATTATCGTTGAAACTTGGAGCCTTTAAGCAACATTAAACTTCAATGACAGTAAATTGGTCTCACTCATTTTGGCTGTTAGTTCTTTGCTTTGATTCCTTTCTTCGTTGGTTGATTTCCCCGTACAATAATTCGCCCTGTATACTAGAGTTAAATCATGTGGTTGTAATACTTTCTGCATTAACTCCGCAGGTCTTATACTAGAAATGCTTGGCGAAGTTCCGTCTTTAAATTCCAGTCCAGTAGAACAACGGGATAAAACAGTCAAAGGAGAACTGCGAAAAGGAGATAAGTTAACTCCCGACATATTGCCTTCGCTATTGTTTGTGAGCTATAAGTAGAGCAATCAAGCGGATAAGAAAAATAAAGAACTTACGTGTGCAATCCAACATAGCCCAAATAATGTTCTGATTACTGTTCCGAGATAACTGAGAGAATATTAAACCCTACGTGAGCATACACATCTTTGTAGCAAAGACATCAGTGCATGCTACGAACCACGTAACAATCTACACATAAACGAGGCAAGAGAACCTGAAGATAGCCAACGGCCTTCCGAGTAGATACGGATAATAGCATTTTGAATGCAGTGGTTCACAGTGCTTTGTAACAAGCACTTTGGTTAGTTGCTATTTGCTAGCAACGCCACCTGAATGCACGCAGCCCAATTAAGAAACGGTGTAGGTTATGTCGTTCGTTTTGCAACCACAGTTAAGTAGTGCCCCCAGTCTCGAATTAGCTAAGGAAGCAAAATGAGCACGTTGCAGTCAGTTACTGTCTTGATGGCTATGCTAAAAACCGTTTCTCATTTTGATGCAAAAGCTTAGATTGTGACCATGTCGAGTTCCAGATGTGTTTCGATAGACACCCGCATCGACGCTGTAAGCGCGTAGGAAATTGCTAACTGAGTACGAGATATGTTCTGAATTTTTATCACGGTACCGTATTGTGTGAAATCAGTAACCTTTCTTGGTTCACCAAGAAGACTAGAAGTGCGTAAAAAACGAATACGATTGGAGGCATTCGTTTGCCATGAATACAAACACTTTCCGGCGAAACTTGCCAAACACAACATTTGAACAGTGTTTGATCCAGCTGCTTTGTCACGCAAAGCTGTGCCTTTTGTCTATGTGGCCTAGTCTGGATTTCATGAAACTGATGGTTCACAAACTCTGTCAATGATGTTCCCACCCCAGGTAGAGGGTCACGCGTTGCAGCGACAGAAAACATTTGAGTATGCGTTGAGTGGTTTTCTCCACCACCGATTTTTAGACACAATGACAGTTTCGAGAACAATGAGCAAGCTTGATTAAGGTACCATTTGATCGTATACTTGAAGAAGCTGCACCGCCTTAATCATTTTGTTGTTCATACAATTCTGGAAAGCAGCACTTAACGTAATGTTTCGTTTATTATGCAACACCACAGCTGATCCACTCCTCTTGGCACAAGTTCTGCTGTGGAAATACAGGAATTAAACCATTATTACTAATAAGCAAGATAATTTTAATTCTAATGTTTTCGTCCCAGCAGCTCACAAGCTAAAAAGCACAGCCTAATCCGGAAAATCACCAGACGCGTTTCGCCCTAATGGGACTCGTCAGTGATGCGCATTCCCTCGGTCCACTACTGGGAATCGCACCCATGATTGCTAGAGGCAGATGCCAACTAGCCAGTACCTTAAGCCACTGAGTCATGGGGATCTCTGCTGGGCTACACAATTTTCAAGCTAACTAGGATATAGCACGATATATCTTCTACTGCCACGCAGGTTCTAGTTGGGCGGATGACAGTGGATAGACTCCGAAGGTCATGACTTCCTCTCACTGGACGCTACAACCATAGCATTTGAAACTAGGAGAGGCTAGGGCATATATTACTAATAAGTAGGAGGATTTTACATCTTGATTACTGTGATCTTATCTAAAACTCCTCAGCAACGTTCCAGTGGTCCACAGATTCCCTGCATCACCGCACAAAAAGCTAAGCCAGCTGCACACAAGCAAGGCATGCAAATGTAACAGGTTTTCACTCGTCGTCTTCAAGTAGCGTGCTGATTTCTAAGTCTGGCCTCTGGCCGAGTTGAAAACATGTGATTGAAGCAAGGGAACAACGCCTGTGGTTGGGAGCTTGTTAGCATAACGCCAGTACGGAAGAATGGGACGTGTTACTATCGGCCTACTTGACGCATCTCAATAGCTTGAATGTATCGCGATAACGAATACCAAAAACCTATTATCCTTGTTATCATTAGTACCACTATTAAATCAGTATTGATATTAATATTAAACTTCTATACCGGCCTGTTGCATTAAGAGCAACATACAAAACAGTATGGGCATCCGTACTAAAACAGGAAGTAACCGACTCAACACACAGCATAGACAGTTTTAACCGTCCGGATCTCGCACAACCAATGAGACGAGAGGCGCTGCGGTTTAGCCACCTAATGAAACATGAGTAAGAGGGACATTGTAAAGAATCGATTCTAACATGGCCCAGTATGATTTGGATGATCCATATAAGTTTGCTGGTAGAAGCTATAGGTATACACAAGGTGCAGTGGCTAGTCTAGTGCCTCCAGGGTTATTGTCGGTAGACAGGAGAACCAACGTACCCGTAACTGTTTCCTCGTATACAGTAGCACTTTCGCCTGTCAACTGTGAATTGCTACGATAAAATCAGCACACGTATGATAATCAACCTCCCCGGAGGATTATTTCACCAAACATTATTAGATCACAGTGTTTGGCGGTAAAACCCTCTCGCTACTTACCACAACTTGCAGTGTCGTTCAAGCAGTCATTTGGTCACAATTCCGTTTCTCTATTTACCATATCCCCATGCTTCTCCCAGAAGTAAAAGCATTTCAATGTATGTTGATGATTTAAACATTAGCATGACAAATCCAACCTTGGTCTCCTCAATGAAGCTGCGGTTTTTGGACGAATTAGGACAGATGTCATGCTCCTGCTGCTTGATGCTGAAAGCATCCAAGTGTAACGACATTCTGTATTTACTGTATAAATTAGCTCGCTAGCAGAAATTTGTCGCAGAATATCCAAAACTTTCGATCAAATTTGACAGCTTAAACCTCACTGATCAAAAAGTATCATGAAGTCACACTGAATCACGCCTTATTGAGTTCACTTCATGTGGATAAACTATCCACCAAAGTCAGGTTAATTTCACTTTATATGTCTCGCTTGTGTGCATCCTCGTTAGCATACAATTTGATTATGTGCTATTGCACTACCTATGTTCTACTACATTGAACTCATTGCTTCCGTTTGATTCTTCAACACTTACTGTGCAAGTATTTCCATCTCATTGACAGGTCAAGGAAAAACTTGTCTCGCTGCAACTGTATTCCACATCCAACTTTGGCTCCATACACTTTAATTATTGCGAAAAAGAGCGTCAACTAATTTCACCTATATTAGCCTCCATCTCCACAGTTCGTTTCCCGACTGGATGTATTCCTCGTCTATGAGACGAATGTACGGAGGAGTATGTGCCCGCAAGTCGGTCACGCCTCGATCTAGCTACATTTATACTTGAACAAAACAAAGACATCCAATGGTTAGTCGGTTAATTTTACCATTGAGTTTGTGTTTTTTACCGGAACTTATTCGGATGCTATCTCCTTGCCCCCGTTCATCCCATTTTATGGGGTCAGTGGCATGTGTGTTACAAATGGAATACATTCATCATGCGCACCTAAAAGCACATGCTTGATTTGACTTTAAGTAAGGCTGCCGCGAAGAATGCGCCAGTTACTGTGGACTTATGTGGATCATCGCCATCTCCATGATCTTCGCGTTCGTCATAATTTGCAGGATTTCAGCGACTAGTGAGGATGGTTTACAGGTCGAGGTTGTACCAATCAAATAGTTACGCTGTCTCAGCTGCTCGCAATTTTGGCCATAGTATTAGCGTATTATACTTGGACCTCCTAGCAGCACTGAAATTTATCAACTGCTGTTGAGCTGCAGCTTCCTAATTAAAAAGTTATCATATGAAGAGCATGTTTGTCACTGCTGAAAAAGGGACCCGTCATGGGTACATTAAATGGCTTTCCTTGGGTGACTTAAAATCAACGACCATGGTATGTTGCCAAATGTTCGGCTGGAGCCCACACTGACCCGCTTACTGCGGCTCCGCAAAACAAACTGAGTTTTGCGTGGCAAGCTACCGTTAGACACACGTATCTTGGCCAACACGACTGAAATGACGCAGTAGGACTAGCTCAGCGAGAAGAACCGCCTTGTTCTAGAACTGGTGTCTGACAGCATCAATGCGCACTAGACTTTACTACCACACAAAAGCAATCCCCTTTATACGATAACGGTCAAACACCAAGTGTCTAGTAGGCAATCTATAAGGATCGGTTGGTATTCGCGTCCATTCAGCACTATCACCTAAACACTGGCAGTGTTATGCATGCATTGTAAAATGAACGAAAAGTCGCGGTGACGCTGAAACTGCTTCAGCATGGTTAAAACAGACCAGACGTTCGCGATACAAAGGATTACCTCCTATACATAAGCGTCGTAGGTCGATAAAACAACACATATTCAAACTTTAGGCCTTCGACGGTGAGCG